TGCTGGGGGCCTTCCCCCCAGCAGATCAGGGAGACGCGGAACAGCTTTTCTTGCCCCAGAGGACGAGGGCGGCGGGACCTCGGCGCGTCTGGGCGGTCCCGTCGCCCGCATCTTCTGGGGCGAGAAAAGCCCCGTTCGTAAGTGTGGATCCGACATAAGTCGGATCCGCATAACTCGGGGACTGCCTGTAGTACATCAAAGAGTCAGAAGTAAAGAAAGGGAAACCCATTTGTTCAGCTATCTGAAAGAAAAGTAATGTTGTCCCTTTAAGGGCTCTCTTCAATAAGGGGTAAAAGGAGAGCAGGGATGGACTGGAAGACTTTGGAAACAAATTTTTGTACAATAGTAATTAAAATACATATTTTAGATAAGGGTGATCTTTTGAAGAATTTATTTAAAAAACTGTATCTGAAGGTCCAAGCATTTAAGGCTAAAGCTGAGTATTCAGACCGTGCATCTAAAAATCTATGCAAGAATTTTTTAGCGATGTGAGTTTTATAATCTTCAGCAACAAAAAAATGAAATATGTAAAGCAAATTTTAAACTATTCCAGTAATACACAACTGTTTTAGTCAATACATTCAGAAACTGATCTATATACCTCTGGATTGGCACATGCCCATTAAATGGCTTCACTACCACTTACTGGCTCTTTCACAGGTTCAATGTTATGCTAATAAGACTGGCAAGCTGTTAATGGATCCACTCTGGGGAAGACTCACAAAGCTGCAACAGCCTGCAGGAACTCGCAGATTAGAGATAGGAATAGGGGAATGGTTGAGCACAAATACCCAGGGGAAGCATTGCCTTTCATTGCCTCTTATACGGTCCACCATACTACTGCTCTGCTCTCGATCCTTTCCCAGTACAGATTTACATAGCCAGCAGTATTCTACCAGGCAACGGTTTTTTTTCCCTCAGACAATAACTCTTACCCACCCATTCTACTTCTAAGTTTGTAACATGAAGAACAGTGAGTCACTGCCCTAACCTGATTTTCTCATCTCTCTGACACCCATCACACCATCATTATAAGAAAGAAACTGACCAGACGCCAAGCGCCGTATCTATCTTAATGAAATCATGCTAATCACTTTCTCATTTTGTTTCTGTAGGTTGAAAAGCTACAAACTGTCACTGTCTATTTCTTAGTGACCATGGTAAGAGCCCTTTTTGATGAAATCAAAGCCATTTCCTGTGTGCTGAGAGTCCACACATTGGTTCCATTCTGTGATTTTTCTTTCCTCTAGAAGTGGAAGAACGTCTTTGTGACTTGGAATCCTCAGGATTTCTGTAACATTTCCAAACTCGTTCTGCCAGTGGATACATTTTGGTCCCCATATATCATCATTTATGAACAGTAAGACTCTCCTTTGCTGATTTCAACTTGCTTCCATGAGAGGGATAATGACAAGGGACATGCTTGGTACCACTGAAATCAACAGGATTAACTCATCATAGTGAGGATTACTCAGTCACATTAGCAAAAGCTTTTCAGGCTGAATGTTGGGGTGGGGGCAGAATAGCTAAGAATCAATTAACTGGTCTCATGCTACAGTAAGAAAACATTCATTAAATAAAACCTTGGGATTTTCAGTCCCTGGGTGAGGGGACACTAGTAGAACATGTTTAGGCTATAGGCAAACTGACAGGCAGGGAAGCCAATCATAAGGAGACAGACTCTAAGGGTATGTCTAGACTACATGGCTCTGTCGACGGAGCCATGTAAACTAGTTTACCCGGCATAGTCAATGAAGCGGGGATTTGAATAATCCCCGCTTCATTAAAATAAAAATGGCCACCACGCTGTGCCGACGATCAGCTGATCTGGCACAGCACGGCAGTCTAGACGCAGCGCAGTTGACAAGGGAAGCCTTTGTCGACCACTCCAGTATGCCTCGTGAAACAAGGGAAGTATGCTTCCCTTGTCGACCATGCCGCGTCTAGACTGCCGTGCTGTGCCAGATCAGCTGATCGTCGGCACAGCGTGGTGGCCATTTTTATTTTAATGAAGCGGGGATTATTCAAATCCCCGCTTCATTGACTATGCCGGGTAAACTAGTTTACATGGCTCTGTTAACAGAGCCATGTAGTCTAGATGTACCCTAACAGTGTATCTTAGTGGTTTCTGTCACTGTTTATTCTTCAGGGCCAGGAGCTGCCTGCTGTACAATGATACTTGATATTGTCCTAAAGGGTTAATTATTAATGATTATTTGTTAAGCAGCAAGAGCATGCTCAGCATGGCACGAGGCACAAAGACACAGGGCCTGATTCTGCCATCACTTCCATGCTGGAAATCAAGAGTGATTCAGCTGAAGTCAGTAGAGGGTGGAAGCAGTGTGAGATCAGAATTAGGCCAACGGTTCCTTACCCAATAGGGCATGTGGGTCGCACTGAATGTCTTTCCTGTCTCATCTGGCAAGCTAATGGGATGCGCAAGTCTTATTTCAATGGGGTTATCATCCCTTCTCTGTGCCCCACACTGTCTCTGCTTGTTTTCTCTCTTCCCATCTCTTCCCACAATTGTTTGTGTTTCAATCTCTCACCCCTTGTTACTCACTGTCACTCACCCTTTCTTGTCCATTTCCTGTTGTATGTAGTAAGGGTCACTGACCATTCAAAGACAGACAAATAGCAAGTTTGACTGCTGTAGTGACTTCGGTCTGGAGTATTTGGTCATTTTATGTTTGTTTTTGAATCGTTGGTTTCTTCAGAGTGGATGAAGAGAAATCACTCAGCAGGCCCTTTCTAACCATTACTCACACCGGCATCATTCATACAACCCAGCAGCATCGGGTCACCATAACATGCAGCTTAGAGATGCACCAGTTTCCATTTGACACCCAGACCTGCCTCATGACCATGTACTCGTTTATGAATTTGGGTATGTCCATTATTATTCACGTTTACTACAACTAGACTGAATTTACTAGTGCTGGCCACTGTTCACAAGTAGTCAATGGATTCAGTGGTCCCCAACCTTTCGTGGCTCCTGGGTGCCCAGGGGCGGGGCTGTTCATGCGCCAGGCATCCGGGGGTCAGGCCACTCACGCACTGCAACCAAGGGTGGGACCACGTATGGGTCGTGTGCCCGGGGGCGGGGCCACCCACAAGCCACATGGCTGGGGCCAGCACCGCGCTTGTGCCGCATGCCTGGGGCAGGGCCCACCCATGCGCCGCGCGCCTGGGGCCAGCACCATGCATGTGCCACGCACTGGGAGCAGGGCCAGCCCAGGGCTGTGTCTAGACTGGCAGGTTTTTCCGCAAAATCATCTGCTTTTGCGGAAAAACTTGCCAGCTGTCTACACTGGCCGCTTGAATTTCCGCAAAAGCACTGACGATCTCATGTAATATTGTCAGTGCTTTTGTGGAAATACTATGCTGCTCCCATTTGGGCAAAAGTCTTTTTCCGAAAAACTTTTGCGCAAAAGGGCCAGTGTAGACAGCAGAGAGTTGTTTTCCGCAAAAAAGCCCCGATCGCAAAAATGGCGATCGGGGCTTTTTTGCGGAAAAGCGTCCTGCCAATCTAGATGCGCCAATCTAGATGCGCTTTTCCGAAAATGCTTTTAACGGAAAACTTTTCCATTAAAAGCATTTCCGGAAAATCATGCCAGTGTAGACGTAGCCCAGATGTTTTGGCGGGCGCACATAAATGCCCCGGCAGGCGCCATGGCACCTGCGGGCACCACGTTGGGGACCACTGGATTAGACAGATCAAAGGTCTGAGCGAGTCTCAAAATTTTTATGTTTACTACTCAATAGTGACCACTGTGTAAAAAAAATTATGATGCAAGGGAGAAACTAAGCTATAGCACAATCTCCCATTATGGAGTCTCCTATATGTATTTATCTGTAAGAACCCAGGATATGCCTCTGCAAAGCCTTTAATCCCAGGAGTGGTCACCTCTTAGTCAAATGACTAGTCCTACTGACTGCAGTAGGGATTACTTGTATAAGAGTTTGTAAAGTCTAGCTCTTAAAACATGCATGAGGATTTAGATTAAAAATAGAACTCCAAGGACTGATATTGATAGGACTACTCCAATGAGAAAGGGCTGCAGGACTGAATCTGGATTTAGAGATTTGAGTTCCAGGCAACAGATCACGGTTTTGGACTACAGCAGGGGTGGGCAAAAGGGCCTCCATGGGCCGGATCCAGCCCATGGAGGCCCTGCTGCTCCCCTGCCCCCCGACCAATTAGGGCCTGGGGGTAGGGGGAGTACGCAAAGTTTCCTCCACCCTGTCATGGTCTGGGGGTGGGGAACCTGGAAGTATTCCAGCCCGCCCTTTCCGCTCAAGGCCCCTCCCCTTCTGGTGCGGTCCGGGGCCATTTCAGAAATTTTTGAAGTGGTCCCCAGCAAAAAATTTTTGCCCACCCCTGGACTACAGCGTGCTGTCTTCTTTTATCCCCATGGTAGTCACAGAAACTGAGAGGCAACACTTACTTTCTTTTATTGTTTGCTCACCACTGATTTTCACTTAGCTACAACTATTCTAATAATTCAGTTTCACCTGAAAAGCAATTGACATTGTTAAACTAAGGAAGAAAATGTTTCATGACTTTCCTAGAGTTTAAAGTCAGAAGGAACCATCTAGTCTGTGTCACCCAGTTACCTCTGCATTGAGCCCATTAATATGTTTTTGGCCAAAGCAGCTCTTCAAGAAAGGCAGCTAGACTTTATGTGAAGAGGAAACTTTTGGCTAGGAGTATATTAAACAGGCCCAGTTCACAATGGGAAGGGAAACAAGAGGGCTAAGCCCCTGGAATGTTATCAAGATGTAGACATTTTTCCCCCAAGAAAAATTATCATCGTAAGGATCATCCCTTTGTAGCTAAAGGAATGTGCTTGCCGTAGTGAGTCTGTGAAGAAAAGGGACAGTTTTTTACTTAATCCCAGGTATTTAGGAAAGCACAGGAAAGAGACATCCACTGCCAACAGCTCCTCTTAGTGCTTAATCCAAAGGTCAGTACAGATAATGGAGAGACTCCCATTGTCTTCAATAGGATTTGGATCAAGGCCTTAAGATGGGAGACAGAATTCAACTAAGCATCCAACACTGTCTGAGTTATAAAAGTCCAGCGGTCATCAGATATTAGTTCCCAGTTAAGTGTGACTGCTTTAGGCCAGATTTCAATCTCATATTGGTGTATGAAATCCATTGATTTCAATTAGGTTATTCCCAGTTTACCCTGGAGTAAAAATCAAGCTCCAAGTTCACAATTAACTTTGTTTTGGGCAAGAGACGCAACTTTCCTGCTAGCCAAGAGAGATCTGAATTTTCTCTTCCCTCCTTCTGAATACATACCTGGTTTGTGGCAGTAGATTTGAACTATGAAAAGAAACACCTTTAAACCCCACTATGTCTTCACTTTCTTTCCTCAAACAGTTGACATTATACTCGAATCTAGTCAGACAACAGAAGAAGTGAATAAACAAAGCCAAGTTTATCACCTTACCAATGGAGAATGGAAATTTACCAACATAAATATCATTTCAGTCACAGAGTCAATGAAGGAAGAAGAGTTTTCCGTGATCATCTATGAGGTATTGCATCAGTGTATTTCATACATTATGTATTTAATTCATTGAGCTATCAAAAACGCACTCTTTCGAACATCAGGGCTCATTTACAAAAGCTAAAACCACAACCCAAGCAAAATCTAGTAATTTTTAAAGGACCATCACCCACAATTACAAGTGCACATTCCCCACTAGGCAAAGTACTTTATAAAGTAGTCAGAGGGGTAGCCGAGTTAGTCTGTAACAGGAAAAACTTAAACAACAAATAGTCTGGTAGCACTTTATAGACTAACAAAACATGTAGATGGTATCATGAGCTTTCGTGGGCACAGCCCACTTCTTCAGAAGACCAGAGTGTTGAATGTCCAGAACCAAAAAGCTCATGATACCATCTACATATTTTGTTAGTCTTTAAAGTGCTACCGGACCATTTGTTGTTTTTTTAAGTTGTATGAAGTACTGGTATTTTAACAAAAGGCCCAGGGAGAGAGATATTATTTGAATGTGTCCAAGAGTTAGTATTGCTACCTTAGAAAATTTGTGGGAGTCTAGCAATCTCAAAACAGAATGACCTGATAAAAATGAACATTACATACTTCTAAATGGAGTTCTCAGAATGTGCACCTCTGCAGCATCAGAGTATTGTGCCAGGTCTGCCTGATTCTTACATTGTCTGTAGAGCTAAATAAAGAAGGACCATGATCTAAAAGGAGTTCAAGGGGAAATATGCAACTCCCACACCTAAATGAGAGAACTGCAGCAGTTTCACAAACCCAGCAGCACGTGCCCAAGACAACTCATGGTACCAGTTCCACTGCCACATTCTAGCTTCTCACTCCTAGCAATGCAGGAGACAAGGTCAAAAAGATGGAATAGGATGCTACCATTGTGCAACCCACCTTGTGTTTAAGCAAACTGGTTTTCAAAAGTACATTTCTCATAGAAGCATATGGAGTCAGGCACTAATGCTGGCAAGTTGCTGGATTCCAGCATAGCTAGTAACGAAAACATTTTTTTCATAATAAAGAACTACAAAATTCTGGGGCCAGATCCTCAGTAAATACTATTAACATCAAAGGAGCTCTACTGATTTATACCACCTGAGGATGTAGCCTAAGGTGATTTAATCTTTAGAGCCCTGCAAATCTGCAGATATCCATGGGTATCCACATCTGCAGAGATCTGCGGATCACTTTTGCAGCTGTGGATACTAATTTTGTATCTGCACAGGGCTCTATTCATGTTTCTTTGAGACATCTAGTCTAGATTATTGAGCAACAGGTTATTGCAATAGATGGAGCTTTTATCCACTGCAGTTTCAATGTGTGTGTTTACCGGAGTGGAAGAAATCAGCCAGATAATGGTACATGTATTCAACAGACACGCGCATGAATATACATAGGGAGGACACTAAGGAAAATAGCAAGAGTGGGCAGAAGACATAAAATAGGGCTTGACATAAAATGAAGGCAAAGGGGATTAGGTGAAGTGAATAGAAGTAGATGGCAGAAAGAGATGGGCTGGTAAGGAAAAGCTAGTAGAACAGGTGGAAGAAGGGTCAGACTATGAGAGGAGGGGAAGTTGGAGTTAGAGGGCAGGGAGCCAAGCAGGAAATGAAGGTAAGCAAGGAAAGAAAGCTGAGGACAGGATGAAGACATTTAAGGCTGGCTGTTGAAGCTTAAGCTACGCTAGAGAGTAGGAAGATCACTGGGGCCTGTTCCTGCCTTTGAGCTGATAGTTTGGACTCCAACCAAACTGTGTCATCCCATCAAGATAAGCACTAATCCAGACTACTGTATTATTTCATGTTTGCCTTATTACCCCAGATCTCCATGAAGAGACGACCCATTTTATACGTTTTGAACCTTATCTTCCCAACATGCGCCCTCTACTTGTTGGATATGGCTATTTTGTTCAGCACCTGCTCTTATGGAGACAAGATCAGCTTCCAGCTGTCACTCATCATTGGAGAGTCAGTGTTAGCTGTGATTCTTAAGGACATACTTCCCACTTCTTCCGATGACCCACCCGTAATAGGTACTTGTATTTATTGAGGAAAAGTCACCTTGTATTGAATATATGCACTAGATTTAAGGAAGAGAACAGAGTACAAACGTGTCATCTATTCAGAGGTAGTAAGAAGAGGTACGCCTAGTTACTGCATGAGAGCTGTAATAATAGAAGTCCTTATTCAGAGCATGTTCTAGAATTAGGGCCTTATATTTCTTCTACCAAGCAGAACACGGTAGCTAGAATTATGGATCTAAAGGAAGTAAGGTAATTTATCTAGCACAGCCTCTTTCTCTTGCTTTGCAGTGATATTTTTCATAGGTGTCTTTGTCCTAATGATTATGGGTGTATTAGAGACCTGCTTATTAATGCAGCTGAAGAAGAAAACTCTACACCCTTTACGCAAGGCCATGAAACTGCTGAGATGCCCCAAGCAACCTAGAACAACATCCAGCGACCTCCTAAGCAAGCATGGTTGGTGTTGGTTATGTGTATTTAAATATTCTATATCCAGTAGCAGGGTTCTGGCAGTAGAGAGCCCTTGTCTTTGGAAATCACTCATACTAGTAGATTTAGAACCTAAAGTCCATGGTGTTTCAGGCCACATGTGATCATAAATTCACACATTAAGAAACCTACCACTAATGTCAACATGGTGTATATATTATGCTAATCAGATACAGATTGCCTCTGCTGTATATGTACAAAGAAGCTGCACCTTCGTTATTTATGTAGGCTCAGATGCAAACACAGCCCCATGCAGCATCCACCACCTCTGGCCCATTCAACAAGTCCATTGTGCAAGAACAGGCCCTGAGACTTTCTGATACAAAAATGGTTTGAAGTTTTCATCAAAACTATCAAGCAAGTAAAGTCCAGTTTACACTCCAGCAGGCCTCTGTTCTTGTCCACAATTTCCTGTCAGCCGAAATGGTCAGGGCAGTGTGTGCGTGTGTGTTACACCCAAGTCTTCAACTGCTGAGACGCAAAGTCTCGTTGCAGTGGGCAGCCTAGGAGGCTGGAGGGCGCCCCGAAAAATAGTTTAACGTCTGTGACTTTACTGCTAGGACCGGGGTCCTGTCGCTATACATCCGAGACTTCAACTGCTGAGACCGGGGTCCCTTGCAGCGGGCAACCTGGAGGAGGTTGACGGGTGCCCCAATGAGTTTATAGGGAGAGCTTATAACACCTCAGATTTTAGCTGGTAGGATACAGAAATCCCTTTGCAGCTGGCAGCCTGGGGAGGCTGAGAGGTGCCCCAATGGATCTGCCCCCTGGAAGCGACACAATCCAAAACGCTCAAGCTCTTCCTATACGTGTCCCTTTTGACCGGCTGAAGTTCTTTTGTTTGTGTTCGGTTCGGGTACAGCAGCTTGACACGCACTGGCTTATTTACAGGAGAAAGAAAGAGAAAAGAAATAAAGAAACTTGGTTCAGTGTATATATATATATTTTATAAGTGAATGAGGGCACCCCACTTATTCCCAAAGTTTATAGCTAAATCACCTTACCAAAGGCAGTTTACAATAGAAATGAAGCAGTTTGACTTAAGAAAACTATAATAAAGTAACTAAACTTACAACAGAGACAATTAGAGTGTACACATAAAGAAAACACATTGCACGTACAATTCTCACCCCTGCGTTCCAGACTTGGCGTGGCCAGCGTCTTTCTCTCAATCCCTTGGGAAGAAGTAGGGCGAGGTTGGGCATCCCACGGACCTCAGGAGACAATCAATACCTGCCAGCAGGGGTAGGTGATTGGAGCTCAAATGGGGTGGGCAACTAAACCCTCTTTATACCCCTTGGGTCACATGGACTTCTTCCTGGTCTCAAGTGGCCAATTAGGAAAAATGGCTTTGAATGCCAAGTTTCCCACGAAGGGTGCAAAGCATAATTCACACCTGGGAAGATGCAGACAATGGGCACCTCTGGTATGTGATGGGCGAAGATTCCTCTCCTGGGACAGTGCAGGCGTGTCAATTACTGGTACTAGCCATCAGGGCGACGGGAGGCCCCGGGTCATCAGCTAGCCCATTTACTGTCTGGTTTCTGTTTATGGTAGAGTCAGGGACAGGCA